AAGGCGGGTGTCGCGGGAAAAGGGGAACCGCGTCGTGGATGCGGGTGTCGCGGTGAGAGGGGAACCACGCTCGCGCTCGCCGCCGCCGCCGCCGCCGCAGCAACGCTCGCGTCCCTCCCGTTGCGCACGGGCCCCACCGTCCCACTCCGCGCTTATCGCTCGCGTTGCGCACGTTCGCGAAGAGGAAGAGAAGAAGAAAATAGAACAATATAATTAAAATATAAAAGTTTTTATTTTAAAATTTAAAAAAGTATTTATTTTAAAATTTAGGATATATAGAATATATGATTTAAATCCGACGCAAATCCGCCGTAATCTGTCGCCATCTGCAACAGATAAAGGACCCACATATTTAAAAAATTGCTAAGAAGAAAGAAAGAAGGATAGCTAATAAGAAATACTTACCCTAGTTGTCGTAAGCAACTGTTCTCTCTCGCGGGCTCGCCTTCTCTCGCAGCGGGCTCTCCCGCGAGTTCTCTTGCGGGCTCCTCGCGCCGCTGTTGCCCGGCACCTCCTCGCGCGGAGGCGCCCTTGCGCCATCGTCCCATAGTACCTCAAAGTGTGAGTTGACCGCCACCCACGGAGGCATCCTCGCCCTCGCTTCGTTGTCATCATCGTCGTCGTCGTCATCATCATCGCTACTCAGAAGGTAGCTCTGAAAGAAAAAAACATCGTCTTTATTCGATAGTAAAAATATCGATTTTATCTGACAATGAGGGTAATTGCTTTTGTACTTACCAGGAATTGTCGACGCTCCTCAGCCTCTACCCTCTGACGTAGACCCACCATCCATGCGTCATCCCTTTCGTAACTATCTATCATGAAATACTCCTAAATTTTATCGGTTACACAATTTGATTTTGCAGTATGATGTACAAAACAAAACGATAAATGTTTGTCGAAATTGTTGTGATCTTTTAATAATGTTTTGTCGCCAATTTCGCGAGCACTTAATAGTTTCTCCAACGGTGGCAAGCAAGGAGCAGGACTCCGTCTGAATGGATGGAACATGATGGACTGACACTAAAACTCAACATGCAATTAGAGATGTTTGTACCCGAGAAAGATAAAAATCAAATGCGCTAGCATTCAGACACATGTTATAATTACTTCTACATCTCAATGTGCAAGCATCTAGGTACATGTTATACTTACATCTCCATGTCGCGATAATGTTGTGAGGACAAAGTATCTAGATACTTACCACAACATATTAACACATCTCCATGCAGTGATAATACTATGATAACACATATGTATAACTAGTCGCGAAAGGAGGTTCCATCACGGGCCCCGTTGCAATTTTCTTTCTCACTCCCTCTCGCGATATCTCCGTCCCACCCATTGCATGATTCTCGCGCGCGATGTAATTCAACGAAGAGAGAAGGAACGAAAAAATTTAACACATAATGTATATTTAACAGACAATGTATATATAATTAGCACATGATTAATACATTTAACACATAATGTATATATTTAATACATAATTAATTATGGAACGCATCGTGCACAATATGATCTGACGCGTAAGCTATGAGTTCACATTCAATAAGCGATGTTTTATCATATACCTTACGCAAAATATTTATCGCATCGTCTTTATTCACGATACAATTTTGACGTAAATAATCGATAAAATACTTAAACTTATTACTAACGGCGTCTGTATGTTGACTTAAATTAAAGTATACATGCTCAACGCAATGTTCAAGTTCAATCATAAAAATCATAGTTGACGGTTTCATATACATACAAGTATCATTCAGCGTAAATTTTACAATATTTTCATTACGTATTTTTACGAGATCTACAACCAGGTCTTAAATTCGTAGCAAGGACGGAACGCTTGATTGTAGAAATCGTTCAATGTCTATACGTCTCTCGATGAACATCCTCCACATTCCATAAGGCAGAATAATGTGATTGCCTCGGTTGTCACTAATAAGTAATTCCACATAAGATATAGATCCGACACTGATTCCAATATCCAGATATTTAAAATTGGTGGTTGTTAGAGCGAATCTTCTCAATATACGAGGCGTCTTCTATTAGAGTATCAATATTTATTTATATATCGCGCCTCCTATATCCCTTTTTCATTATACGACTTACACTACCGGAGTGCCATCTCTACTGACTCTACTAATACTAATGTAAATTTCTTTTTCTTTGACTAGAGTTGCACTTCCGCTTTTTCTTCTTCTCACTGTTCATTAAGCTTATCGGCGTTACTCGATGTGCGTACAAGCCTGAATAAATATTCTTTTATTATAATAACCTGTCGTCAAAACGTTATGGGCCCAGGCACGCGAGCTTATTAAAGACAGTGTCGAAAAAACAGGAATCGACTTATAACTATCTACTTTGGAACCGAATGTGTTTCGTTCCGTTCGCTCTGGGTGAAAAATAAGGTTATTCTCGAGAAGCACGTTAAGTGTCCACGTACATCGATAGCCAAATCAAACGCAGCAAGTACTCGTATTATTATTCTGTGTTATCCTGAATTTTCACGACGTATGAAAAATGCCGGAAAAAGTCGACCGCGTCGATGTCACAGCCATAACCAAGTTTAACGGAGAGAACTATCCGCAATGGAAATTTCAAATAGTCTGTGCCCTCCGTGCCAAAAGTATCCTGGACATTGTGAAAGGTGAGAAGAAGAAGCCTAATACCAATACGGATGGGGAAGCAGATGCATGGGATAGGAAGGACGCGCTAGCTATGTTCACTATAACATCAGCTATGGAATTCAAACAAATTGCGCTGATCGAAAATTGTAATACTTCTCATGAGGTATTTGCTAAGTTGAATTCTATTTACGAGCAAAAAACAGAAACGAATAAATTGAGACATCATGATCGTTTCTATCAATACAAAATGTCAGTCACAGATAGGCACAACACATAAGCAAGGTCGAATCCTTGGCTCGTCAAATAAAAGACAGTGGTGATACAGTCAGTAACTTAGCGATAATGACTAAAATAATAAGTACACTTCCCATGAAATATAAAGGTTTCAGGCAAGCATGGATGTCCACACCAGAGGATCAACAGACTCTTAGCAATTTAACTGCTCGACTGTTGGATGAAGAGGCCAGTTTAACTGTCCAAGAAGAGCAAGATAACGCTCTTGCAGAAAAATTTGTTCTCCAAAGAAAAACTGACAGTTCTGGGTATGGAAATCAAGAAATCCCAAGATAAGGCACAAATATACGACAAAGGCAGACTGGTTGCATCGGGTGTACGACAATCAAATTACTTATATAAGATGTTATTCAAGACTATTATTCCAGAAGAGGCTAACGCAATAATTCATTCAAGTCTTAAAGTATGGCACGAGAGGCTTGGCCATATAAATACACAAGTAATCAAAGAGTTAGTTTCCAAAAATCTAGGAACTGGCGTGAATCTAAATTCTCGTGAGGATTTCTTCTGGCTGTGCATATAAAACAACACAAAGCACCGTTTGAAAAAATACAGCATCAGAAAATGGAACCTGGCGAATTAATATATAGCGATGTAGGAGTAATGCCAACGCAGTCGGTAAGCGGAGCTAAATACTTTGTAATTTTCAAGGATGACCATTCCGGTTACAGAACCGTATTCTTTATGAAGCATAAGAGCGATACATTTGAATGCTTTAAACAGTTTCATCGCATAATAAAAACAAAGTACAATCGCTCTATACAAATTTTACATACTAATAATGGAACAGAGTATGTAAACGCTGAATTTAAAGAATATCTCTCAAAAAATGGAATTACTGTTGAACGAACTGCTCCATACACTCCCGAGTAAAACTCAAGATCGGAAAGAGATATGCGCACAATTGTGGAAAGTGCGCGTGCTATGTTGTACAATGCTGATCTTCCAATGAAGCTTTGGGCCGAAGCAGTCAATACGGCCGTATATATCCTCAACAGGACACCTACTGTTCAAGCACCGAATTCGACGCCTTTGGAATTATGGGCCAAAAAGACTCCAACATTGTCTCACACCAGAACGTTTGGTGCTGAAGCTTACGTATTTACTCCCGACGCCTTAAGGAAGAAACTGGATCCCAAGAGTAAGAGGATGATTCTAGTAGGATACGATGGAAATTCAACGAATTACAGACTGTAAGGTCCTAATACTAAGAAGATAACTATCTCAAGAAACGTTATCTTTAATAAAGAAAAATTAGGAATAACAAATCCTAAACATTACACTCCAGTTAACATCGACGACGAGAGCGAAATAGAAGAGCCTCCTAACGATAAAAACAATGCTCACTTGGAAGATAAGTCGGATTCACCTTCAGAAGGAGAAACGTCACAGCCAAGAGTCAGCAAGAGACTCCAGTGTCTGAACGGATACTTAGACCACGAGACAAACTCAAGCCACCCACAAGACTATACTATGATGCAATGTTCGTGGAGGAAGACATACCTAAAAGCTACGACGATGTTGAAAATTGACAAGATAAAGATAAATGGATACAGGCGATGAAAGAAGAATTAGATGTTCACGACGAAAATAAAACATGGGAAATCGTCTCATTACCAGCTGGAAAGAAACCAATCGATTCATCGGTGGGTGTATAAAATAAAGAGATCCACTGATGGAGAAATTTCTAGATACAAAGCACGGTTATGTGCGAAAGGTTATTCCCAGCAAGAGGGTATAGACTATCACGAAACTTTCTCGCCTACTACGAGGTATGACTCTATAAGACTATTTCTAGCGACTGCTAACCAACTAAATTATTCAATCGTTCAATTTGACGTTAAAACGGCCTTTTTGAATGGGGAATTGCAAGAAGAAATTTTTATGACCCTCCTGAAGGAATAAAGTGTGAACCCAATATGGTCTGTCTTCTTAAGAAGTCTTTGTACGGTTTGAAGCAATCCCCCAGATGCTGGAACCGTAAGTTCGACCAATTCATTAAACTATTTGGACTATCCCCTTGCGGAGGAGATCAATGTCTGTACGTAGGAAATATAAAAGGTTCAAGAGTCTACCTCATTCTTTTTGTCGACGACGGACTTATCGCAGCTTCAAATGACAAACACTGCTCTTTGATTATCGAAGAACTTCAGAACAATTTCCAAATCACTGTATCCAAACTTGAATACTTTATTGGAATGGAAATTAAATATAACAAGAATAAAGGTGCAGTGTTTCTAAATCAATACAACTATATTGAAAAAATGATAAAGAAATTTAATCTTGATGAAGCTAATCCAAGTTCTATACCTGCTGATCCTCATGTACGTCTCACCAAATCATCAAATCAAGATGAAAACAATCTGTTGTAAGTCTCGCTGTGCGTTACTTACAATGTCACACTTAGTGATAAGCAGGTCACTGTTGCAATCTAATATTGCAACGGTGACCTATAATAATTGAGGACACCGACGCAGGACTTCGGCAACCTCAAGTACGCGTCCTCCAAAAACTGCGGCAGTTGCAATTAAGCAACAATTGCAACTGCTAAGCAGTGCAGT